AAAAAAAAAACTTTTTTGGTTACTTATGCTCAGCCCTTTAAACGTTATTTCCGGACGAAACATTATTAGCGGCCTATACCACCATGTCAAGATGCCGTTATTTGGAGCGTGAATTCCTGAACTTAGGGCACTTTATCATGTAGGAACTGTAAAGACTGCGAACACAACAAGCACACCGCAAGTCAATCATCAATGTGAAACAAACACGAAACATAACTTGGACAGCATTACGGAAAATTCCAAAATTCCCCAAGCTGTTGCGAAGCGTAGCTTGAATGTACCCTGGACGAAAAAGAGTTCTATCTAATCAAATAAGATGCAAGCTGTAATCGGTTTAGTTTGCCAAATCCGTCAATCACGAGAATTCCTTCAATAAAAGCCAATGCAAGTCTACCGACTACAACAGTTAACAACGGTGTAATGCAACGGCGCTTAGTAAAATTCAGTGTACTTGAGAAAAACGTGAAAGGTTGATTAAGAGCATACAAGGCGGTCGATGTCACCGGACTGATGAAGCACTTCGCAGACGCATGCAACCTGATCGCTATCGAATGTACATTCACTGAAAATGGATACAAATGGAAAAAAAAATGTAAAAGAGGAGGAGGAGGAGGAGCAGAACAGGCTTAGGTTACCTCAGATACGGACTGGAAATGGATATATTATGGCGATGCTGCTGTAATCGTAGACTGCTTGCAACGTCGACTGCACCAAGTAAATCGGATACTTTTATTGGAGCTGCCGGGGTACAATGTCGGCGAGGTGTCAGTGTACGCGGGTGTGTTGCCTGAACCGGCTACCTATCAGCCGCTGCTCTTCTTTCTTGTGTGCATTTTGCAACTACTGGAGACTCGGCATACTCTGGGATCGTTTGGCAGGCTGCGTGTCCAGAAGTACACCGGATACTTTTGCTGGCGTAGTATGTACGGGTGTATGCACTGTATACGTTGTAAGCCAACCATTTGTAATAGCGATATGTTAGTTTAGAAATGCCGATATGGGTATCCGATGTGCGAAGAGCAGTGCTGCATCACCTGTCCCGACAAATTTGCTCAAGAACAGCGCGGACCGAAAGAATGAATTCTTGTTGAAAGTTGAGTAAAACTCACGGTTGCATGGGTAATTGATATTGCTGCTCCATTTAATCCTTATTGCATTGGGAATCTGCCTGGTAAAAAAGCCGTTTGTGATGCGCAAAGGTCCGAGCAGCCTGCGAAAGTGGGGGAGGATAAATTCGATCCTGTAACAAAATATGTCTCCCGGGGTGCCAGCGCTGATGGGTGGTTGGTTGATGATTTTGAAACGAGAGAAGTGTAGCGACGCGTTATGCCCCTTCCGCAGTAGCGCAAGCTGAGCCAAGCTAACAACCCGTTCGCTATTGGAGGACCGCCGATAGGCAAGCTTCTGGATGGAAAAAGGGGCGTCACCAACCAAACCACTAACCAACCATCAGCGCACCGAACACCGCCCGATCCGACAACATCAGCGTTATACTCAGCGAGCAACGCGGTACAAGTTGTTATCTAGACAATACCGCTTCTCACCCGTCCTTTACGAATTTTGTTCGATGGCGGAATTGAGCTCTAAAACTGCTGCTAGCCAAATTTTGAGCTGTACTTAAAATCAGACTAGCACTGCCTCCCGTGTTGCCCATTCAGTGCTTCTTGGTTCAGCTCTCACACTACCACTCATTAGTGTATGTTAGTTAGAAATTGCAGCCTTCAAAAAAATTTCATTTCTTTCAGGTCCTACAATTTTTGCCTGTCACAGTGACTGAGTTACTTCCCCATTATGATGGGGAGGACAGGTGCCCGATGTCCTAAACCTGCCGCCCTGGATTGAAGAGTGAACCATTGTTTAAAAATTTCTCACAACATGAGCTGTTTGATTTTGCACATCAGTTGCAGTTAAAAGCATCAAGGATAACAAAGAGTAGTGTCAGTATTAATCTAAAAGGCCGCAATAACTATCCCAAGTCAGGTAAGAATTTATCTAATTTGCTTTTTATTAATTTTAAACTTCAAAATTCACAGCGAAAATTGAAGCTTAAAAATTTTAATCAGGACAAAATATCCTGTGGAGCTCATTTCCTTTGATCAGCTTCGATCCAGTTGAATATTTTCAAAATATAATTTATTATTCAAAATGCAATCTAATGCAAAATATTTGTTACACTAATAATTGTGTCTAACTGACATCTTATACAATACACCGCTTTTTTTTTAATACGGCCGATTTTAATCCCCTTCCTCTTTTCAATGCGGCTGATTTTTTTAAAGTATACCATTATAATAATATCGTTATAATAAATTGAAAGGATTTTCATTTCTCGCTTAACACATCTAAGAATAAGCAAGACAAAAGAGAAAAAGGCCAGCAGTTGCTAGCCAGAGTTTCCTGACCAAGAAACCAATAACTAGGGGATAACCTGGAATAATGCTGAAAGTGGTGGAGATGACAGCGATGATGGTGTACAGGAGCTAGGATCGAGCAATACATCGTCGAAATGGTGCCTGGATCGAGACGTTTCAATAGTTTTCGAAGTTATGTTCTGGCATAAAGGCATCATGTCTGTCACATTTGTGCCTAACACCTTGTCAATCACTTAACAACCCAACTCCACCCGTCCTCTTCTGCATATTTTCAGTGATGCACTGGTGATATTACTGCTTCTACTGGTGCTGGTGCTTTCATCTTAATGATGATGGTGGTGATAATGATTATAACAATAATTATGCCAATAAATAATACAATGGAAACAATAATAATGCCTATTTTGATGTTATTATGCTGATGTTTACAAGACCGGTACAAAAAGGTCCATTTCCGAAATCTAAAATTTCAGCTCCGGACAAGGATCAATGACGAATCCAAAAAACCCACGCTTTCTTTACGTGGGTTTTTTGAATTTGTTATTGATCCTTGTCCGAACCTGAAATTTAACAAATCCAAAAACATTCGGAGAAAAATGCAGCTCGAAAACGCGTTAAATTTGGTCAAAATTCAGAATTTGAAATCGAAGTCTCGAAAGTTTTCGAATTTCTTTGTATTTCACATTTTCAGATCCTTTTTTCAAAACTCAGTAAGCATTCAATGTTCCACCAATTCATTATTCGTTAAACACCGGTACTTAAGCGGTTTTTATGAAATGGCAATACCCCCGCTTATTGAAATGTTTGTA